ACCTCTTCCTCTTCCGATCAAGGGTCTTCCAATAACCCCACGGCTGCCGGACAGGTGCAAGCACCCTCTGGTCAGCAGGACCCGCTGTGCTCAGGGGCGTTCACATCACCGGACACTCACTCCGCCTGGGAGACTCACCAAGGGATTTCTAAACACGTGTCTTATCCCAGTAGGAATTCTGCTGAATAAGAGTAGTAAGATATTTAGGTTTCATACCTGAAATGAAAAGTAGAACCATAGGGCAATGAAATGTGATGCTCTGTATGATACAGGACACGACCTCCAGGCGGAGTGAGTGTCCGGTGATGTGAACGCCCCTGAGCACAGCGGGTCCTGCTGACCAGAGGGTGCTTGCACCTGTCCGGCAGCCGTGGGGCTAGTGGCTCCCGATGTTAAAGGGGCAAGAAGTTCTCAGTTCCCAGGGTCCTCCTCGTGGAGTGCAGCATCGCACTCTTCAGCCGGAGTGTGGGCGGACGTGGCATCCTCGTGGAGAAGGTAAGAACTGTTCCTCCTCCCGTGGCAACGAGAAAGTCTCACCCACAGAGTTTATTTATTGCTCGTTCGCTCCAGGCCTGGAATAACCACAAAGCTCTCTCGGATGAGAATAGTTAAAATTAAGCAATGAGAACTGAAGCAAAAATAAAAGTCTTAATTCTTATTCCAAGAAGTTAACCGACTATTTCATCCGGTTACCACAGGCTTTCCTTTAAGATACTCTTAAGTTTTTAGTGCGAACACGTGTCAGTATCTGACACGCATGGGGGCCGGTTAACTCCCCTGTGCCCGTGTTTTCTATGTCCCATGACGGGAGCTGACTGGTAGCTCCGCGTCTAAAGTGCAAACTTGATTCTGGTGCTTGGATTTCCGGAATCTGTTTCCTCAGGCAGATCTGTCCACGAATTGTCATACAGTGTCTCCTATTCTGAGGGGTTGTAAGAAGGTAAGAGAGAGGGTCTGAGATGCTACACACAAACACAAGCACACAAACACCCAAACACGTCACGTACACACACACACGCAAACACATTATATCGCAAAGCAATGAGTGTCCCGTGTCATACAGAGCATCACATTTCATTACTCTATGGTTCTACTTTTCATTTCAGGTATGAAACCTAAATATCTTGCTACTCTTATTCAGCAGAATTCCTACTGGGATAAGACACGTGTTTAGAAATTCTTTGGTGAGTCTCCCAGGTGGAGTGAGTGTCCGGTGATGTGAACGCCCCTGAGCACAGCGGGTCCTGGTGGGGGTGCTTGCACTTGTCCGGCAGCCATGGGGTTAGTGGCTCCTGATGTTAAAGTTCCCAGGGAGCAAGGTCGGGTGCACGGAGGTGAGCCTCGGACGGCCTCCCGGCAGCAGAGTTTGGGAGATGGGCTGGGCAGCAGGACGATTTAATGATAACTCTTTTTTTGCATTAAATTTTATTGGTTTCAGAGAGGAAGGGAGGGAGAGAGAGAGAGAAACATCAATGATGAGAGAGAATCATGGATCAGCTGCCTCCTGCACACCCCCCACTGGGGATGGAGCCCGCAACCCAGGCCTGTGCCCTGACCGGGAATCAAACCGCGACCTCCTGGTTCCTAGGTCGACGCTCAGCCACTGAGCCCCGCCAGCCGGGCTGCATTAACTGTTTTTATTCTGGTAAAAAACACGTATTGTCAATGCTACCATCTCAGCCACTCCTGAGTGTGCACTCTGTGGCGGTAAGCACATTCACACTGTCATGGAACCATCTGCAGACCTTTCTCTTCTTGCAGATGGACACGCTCCCCGTTACACAGCAGCTCCTCCCCGCTCAGCCCCTCGCAACCACACGATCATTTTACCGTGTCCTGGTGGGTTGTGCAAGATAACGCCCATCCTCTCTTTAAAAGACTGCTCTTGCTCTCCAGGGCGTTCACGCAGATTGGGAGGCCTTGGTGTGGTGCGGCGTTTACGGGGCAGGTTGGGGTGAAGAAGGAGCTCGTAGGACCTGGCACGTTTCCTCCCTGGAACGCTGAGCATGTTTGGTTGGTGCTTTTAAAATTGGTGTTGCTTCTTACCTGTGGGAAATCTTTAAAACATTATTATGTACTAGAGGCCCGATGCATGAAATTTGTGCAAGGGGCTTGGCCTCCACCACCACGGCGGCTGCGGGCCTCTGCCTTGGCCCCCGCCTGCCAGGAAGGACATTGGGTCTAATTAGCATATTATGCTTTTATTATTATAGATTAGTAGCATGGCCATGCTGCTAAGCGCCCATGAGGACATTGAATATCCTGAAACGTCCCCTCTCCTCAAATACCCTTAGCAGTAGGGTCCCACTACCTGCACATAATTATGTCTTTGAATTTTCCACAATTAAGAAGCGCTAATAAAAAAAGAACCTGTGAACCCTGGCTGGTTTGGCTCAGTGGATAGAGCATCAGCCTGTGGACTGAAGGTTCCCGGGTTTGATTCTGGTCAAGGGCACGTACCCAGGTTGTAGGCTCGATCCCCAGTGGGGGGAGTGCAGGAGGCAGCTGATCCATGATTCTCTCTCATCATTGATGTTTCTCTCTCTCTCTCTCCCTCCCTTCCTCTCTGACATCAATAAAAAAATCATATATATGTACATACATACACATATACATATATATATGTATGTATATATACATACATACATATATGTGTATGTATCCCATATACTAAAAGCCTAGGTGGTGCCGTGCGATGTCGTTACAAGATGGTCACCACAGGATGGCCAGCAGGGGAGGGCAGTTAGGGGCAACCAGGTCTGTAGGGGAGGGCAGTTAGGGGTGACCAGGCCTGTAGGGGAGGGAAGTTAGGGGTGACCAGGCCTGTAGGGGAGGGAAGTTAGGGGTGACCAGGCCTGTAGGGGAGGGAAGTTAGGGGTGACCAGGCCTGTAGGGGAGGGCAGTTAGGGCTGACCAGACTGGCAGGGGAGGGCAGTTGGGGGCGGTTGGGCTGGCAGGGAAGCAGTTAGGCATCAATCAGGCCGGCAGGGGAGCAGTTAGGGGTGATCAGGCAGGCAGGTGAGTGGTTAAGAGACAGCAGTCCCAGATTGTGAGAGGGATGTCCGACTGCCGGTTTAGGCCCGATCCCACAGACATCCCCCAAGGGGTCCCAGATTGGAGAGGGGGTAGGCCGGTCTGAGGGACACCCACTCCCCATGCATGAATTTCATGCACCAGGCCTCTAGTGTATATATATATATATATATATATATATATATATATATATATGTATATATATGTATATATATGTATATATATGTATATATATGTATATATATGTATATATATGTATATATATGTATATATATGTATAAAAGAACCCGTGAAAAAAATTCCAGTTAATAAAAAGCTAAGGGGCGGGGGGGGGGGGGTGGCGGGGGGGAGAGGCCTTTCTCTTCTTAAGAAAATTATGTCTCATTTTCAGCTTTCCTTTTAAATTGTGGCAACAAAGGACAGTTCCCCTTTTTTGGGGGTTGCTCTTGTCTGTAGCCTCTAGCGCACATGAGTCGCTGCAGAGCCCTGGGATCTGTTGCCATCACGTAGGTAACTGCTGACTTTGAGGGTCAGGCTCCTACACGTGGCAAGTTACTGACTGAACCGGGTGTCGTTGGCAAGTTTCACGAGGTCAGGACACAGAAGCACGGCGTCCCAACACGCCTCCCAACACGCTATCCCTATAGGCCTGGGGCCTGACTCACAGCTCAGCTGCCCGGAGTCAATTGCTTTCATCTCCTCGCTGTTATCCCTGGTAATGTGCCAGTGGAACAGGTGAGAACTGATGAGGTGGTGAGTCCAGGGGCAGAGGTGGAGGGCCAGGCGTTCTGAATTCCTCTGGCGACAGCTTTATCTGGCAGGGCGAGTTGTACTGTAGGACTGCCCGGCCCGACTTTTCAGTTTATTTCTATATAGAAAAGGGTTTCCCAACAGGCTGAGCTCATGCTGCGAGTGTGCTCATGGACGATAGGGAAAGATGCCACGTAATGTAATTTTTATTAGATTTTCCATTAATTAGGACACAACACATGTTCTACAGGAAGGCACATTTCCTCCAAATCTATTTCAAACATTTATTTCTTTTAAAAGATCTCTACTCAGAGGCCTCATGATCAATGAGGAGGGCATCTCATTCATCAACCAGACAAGAAACTCTATAGAATTTCTGTTGTACCTAGTGGGGTCCCTAACCATGACACCCCAGAAAGTCTGCGTTCTTGCAGAATGTAGTGAGAGGCGCAGCAGTGAGAAGTTCACTTGTTCTCAAGTTACCAACACAGAAAAGGTGAGCACACGACCAGCCCGACGCACAGCTCACACGTACAGGCCGCGGCGCAGAAAGGGTTATTAGACGGAAAAGCTAACGATGAGCTCCTGATTCTCAGATATCACATAACACTTTCTATAAGTAATTGAAAAGGGTGATTTAAAAAGCTCCTTAAAAGACTATTAACGAGTGTCTAAAAAGGATGATTTGAATAACTGGTTGCTAACTAGAAATTCGCTTATAAACTCAGGAAAGCGAGGCTTTTCAGCGTGTCAGGGGGTGAGGTCGCCATGCCGGCCTGCGCCTCGTGGATGGAGGAGAGCAAGGAGCTCGGCCCTCCGTGGCCGCCCGGTCCTCCCTCCTTTCCTCGGGCCGGTCTTCCGCGTGGCCCCAGTCCTGCAGACACGCCCGGCCCAGACCCTCGCGGCGGCAGTCCGGGTGCACTTCTCGGAGCCAGCCTTCCTGGCCGGCTGCTCCCACCTGGGCTGCGGGACGGGAGAGCCAGTCCCCCGGACACAGGCCCTGCGCCGTCCGTGGGTGAATGACGTGTGGGGTCCCAGCTCAGGCCGGGGCTGCTGACTGGCTCCGGAAGGTGAGTGTGTCGGTCCATTAGAACCAGCAGGATTCTGCTGACAATGCTGTTCTCACGCCCACGCCCCCAAGACCATCCGGAGGGCAGGCGCTGCTTGTTTCTTCTGAAGCGAGAACGTGGACTGATTTCTTGTTATTGCTCCCCAAGCCTCTGCCGCCCCGACATGACTCCCTGGAGTCCATGCAGGTCTTCAAGCAGCACTGCCAGATCGCCGAGGAGTACCACGAGGTCCGCAAGGAGATCGCGCTGCTCGAGGAGCGGAAGTAGGTGCCGTCCTGGCTGCTTCGCGGGGCCAGGCTGAGTGGAGGGGCGGGGCCATGCTGAGTGGAGGGGCGGGGCCATGCTGAGCTGGAGGGGCGGGGCCAGGCTGAGCTGGGCGGAGTCAGGCTGAGTTGGGCAGGGCCTGCTGAATTGGGGGCATGGCCAGGCTGAGCTGGGCGGGGCCAGGCTGAGTGGAGGGACGGGGCCAGGCTGAGCTGGGCGGAGCCAGGCTGAATTGGGCTGGGTGGGGCTGGTCCAGGCTGAGGCAGAGGGGCGTGGCCAGGCTGGGCTGGGCGGGGTGGGGTGGGGCTGGGTGGGGCCAGGCTGGGCTGGGCGGGGTGGGGCGGGGCCAGGCTGAGCTGGAGGGGCGGGGCCATGCTGAGTGGAGGGGCGGGGCCATGCTGAGTAGAGGGGCGGGGCCATGCTGAGTAGAGGGGCGGGGCCAGGCTGAGCTGGGCGGGGCCAGGCTGAGTGGAGGGACGGGGCCAGGCTGAGCAGGGCAGAGCCAGGCTGAATTGGGCTGGGTGGGGCTGGTCCAGGCTGAGGTAGAGGGGCGTGGCCAGGCTGGGCTGGGCGGGGTGGGGCGGGGCCAGGCTTAGCGGGCTCAGCTGGGGGCGGGGGCTGACGTCCCGGGGTTCTGAGGTTGCTGGGCACCTTCCTGTCCGTCCTGTTTGTCCCAGAAATGATCCAAGTGGCACCGCTGGAGGGTCAGTGCTTTGCGAGCAGCGAGGGACAACAGGGCGCTTTCTTCCCTCAAACTTAAGTTTTTTTTTTTTGTTTTTTTTTTTTAATATATTTTATTGATTTTTTACAGAGAGGAAGGGAGAGTGATAGAGAGTTAGAAACATCGATGAGAGAGAAACATCGATCAGCTGCCTCCTGCACATCCCCCACTGGGGAAGTGCCTGCAACCCAGGTGCATGCCCTTGACCGGAATCGAACCTGGGACCTTTCAGTCCGCAGGCCGACGCTCTATCCGCTGAGCCAAACCGGCTTTGGCAAACTTAAGTTTTTAATAAGCACTTTTAGCTCAGGAAGTTAAAAATGCCAAAACACACCGGAGCCTGTCCCTGTGCACGTGCCCGGAGGCCCAGCCCACTCCGGCTGCGAGTGGCGGGTGCTGAATGCTTACCTGGCGGGGTTCCCACAGCAGGTAGACAAGCCGCTGGGGGAGGGTTAGGGCTGGGGTGACGTATTCGTGTTGGATGAGTGACACATGCGTGTTGAGTGAGTCCAAATATTGCCCTTCGTTCTCTGCTTCCCCCCTTCCTCTTCCTGGAGAGACACTTATATACTTATTACTTAATGTTTAGATCAAAGCCAGGAATTCATGAAGCTGTCAGGACTCTTCGGAGACCCACGAGGCGGTTGTGCAGGGCGCGGGGGCGTGTGGGCTGGGTGGGGACTCCGGGCTCACCCTGAGGCCCTGAGCAGGCCCGGGCCTCTCCTTCCTCGTTGCTTTCTGTGTTTCACACACATCCTACCTGGACTCTGGTTATGGGGTTCAAGGCGTTTGCGAGATCAGAAACAGCGCTCTCTCCTCACACGTCGGAGACTCGTTCTGGTCTGAGGGTTTTCATAAACTGGTGTGTGCAGACTGAGCCTTACGCACAGGCCACGTCCTGAGAAAAGCTTCAGAAAGGGACTGAGGAAGCTGATTAATAGCGTGACCAGTGGTGAGTCACAGGAGGACTTTGCAAAGTCTGTTCCTGTGTGTGTGTGTGTGTGTGTGTGTGTGTGTATGACTGTGTTAGTGTGTGTGTGTGTGTATAAGAGTGTGTGAGTGAGTGTGAGACTGTGTGTGAACTGTGGTGTCCTGACAGCAAAAAAACAGATAGTTATGTGTTTATCTGTAAACTCAGTTGAGGTGCTGGGGGCCTTTGTTATCTAAACCCACAAGAGTGGATCCTCATTTGGGGTGCAATGGAAGACTCACCCACTAAGATATAGGATCTGTACGTCTATGTCAGTGATGGCGAACCTATGACACGCGTGTCAGAGGTGACACGCGAACTCATTTTTTTGGTTGATTTTTCTTTGTTAAATGGCATTTAAATATATAAAATAAATATCAAAAATATGTCTTTGTTTTACTATGGTTGCAAATATCAAAAAATTTCTATATGTGACACGGCACCAGAGTTAAGTTAGGGTTTTTCTGGGGTTTTTTTGTTGTGTTTTTTTTTTAAAAATATATTTTATTGATTTTTTACAGAGAGGAAGGGAGAGGGATAGAGAGTTAGAAACATCGATCAGCTGCCTCCTGCACACTCCCTACTGGGGATGTGCCTGCAAGCAAGGTACATGCCCTTGGCCAGAATCGAACCTGGGACCCTTCAGTCCGCGGGCCGATGCTCTATCCACTGAGCCAAGCTGGTTAGGGCAAATTAGTGTTTTTCAAAATGCTGACACGCCGAGCTCAAAAGGTTTGCCATCACTGGTCTGTGTATCCGTATGTTGTATTTAAAAAGTACGCCAGGATAGCAGCATGCGTGTGGCTCATCTGGAGTTTGCGGGAACCCATTCCTGCTCTCCTGCTTAGAGTAGTAACCGCTGTGGCCGCCAGCGCAGCAGGAAACACCGAGAGGCAGAGTTGCCTCTGAGAGAGGGTGGCCCGTGGGCCAGGGGAGCGAGTCCACACAACCTGCCAAACCACAGAAGTGCCGGCCAGACCCCCAGCTCAGCCACTCGCGGCCTTTCGAAGTCACAGGCTGCTGTGCGGCAAAGGCCAGACTCTTTCTTCCCCTTTTCCTTTCTCGTAAAGTCTCTCAAATTCCTTTTACTTCATTCCTGCTCCTGCCGTTTGGGGCTGTAATATGGACGGTTGGCCTGGGAAGCCCCGTGCTCGGCCCGATTCAGACTTCCAGGTGGCCTCGTGCTTCTGAAGGTCCCCTCACCCCTCGCCTTCGAGGACACTGCCCCCTCCCCACTTCTGCCTCTGCCCCCCTGGCACCTCCCTCCTCTCTGCCTCCCGAGGGCCCCCTCGGAGGAGGCTTAGCTAGCCCCTGCCCCTGCCCGCCTTCCAGGGACCAGCTCTGTTCCCCAGAGAGGAAAGCCCACAGGAATGAGACTTCTGGCACTTGTGTGTGTGTCTGTGAGAGTGTGTGTGTGAGTGTGAGTGTGTGTGTGTGTCTGTGAGAGTGTGTGTGTGAGTGTGTGTGTGTGTGTGTGTGTGTGTGAGCGTGTGTGTTAATATATATTTTTATTGATTTCAGAGAGGAAGGGGGAGGGAGAGAGAGACAGAAACATCAGTGAGAGAGATCAGCTGCCTCCTGCAACGCCCCACACTGGGGATCGAGCCTGCACCCGGGCCTGTGCCCTGACCGGGAATCGAACCGTGACCTGGTTCATAGGTCGATGCTCATCCACTGAGCCTTGCCGGTCGGGCTACTTCTGGCAGTTTTGTAGCCGGTTGCCATCGATAGTTACCCAGCTCAGGTCTGCTCCCTACAGACTCCAATCCCAGCCACCCAGTGGCAGCTGCGCTCAGGGTCAGACACGGCGTGTGTGTGTGTGTGCGTGTGTGTGTCTGTGTGAGAGAGAGAGAGAGAGAGAGAGAGAGAGAGAGAGAGAGAGAGAGAGAAAGGGAGAGATTTACAGTGGTTATTTGCAGTGCTTACAGGAGACTGTAACAGCCTCCGTGTCCACACTTTATTGGAATTCCTTTGGTCTGCATTTAAAATAGAGTCAGTATCAGCAGTGAAGGCGAAGATGAAGAGTTGGGACGGAAGCACGGCCACAGCTCACGTGATGATAAGGAGGGGGTCCTGAGAGGGTTGCCGGGGTCATCGTGTCACTAACGCTTTCCTGAGGCAGAAACTCATTCGGCAGCAGCTGTTTTCCTAAAAGAGCTTTGTTTCCACGCGAGGAAAGGTGGCCCATGGTCTCGACCTCAGGGAGGGCTGTTTTCTGATGTTTGGAGGAGGGTTTCTTCCCGTCGCGTCCTGAACTGGCTGCCCCGGCCCTGGTGACGGTGAGGGTCATGGCTCAGGCCGGCCCTGGTGATGGTGAGGGTCAGCGCTCAGGCCGGCCCTGGTGACGGTGAGGGTCAGCGCTCAGGCCAGGCCTGGTGACGGTGAGGGTCAGCACTCAGGCCGGCCCTGGTGACGGTGAGGGTCAGCACTCAGGCCGGCCCTGGTGACGGTGAGGGTCAGCGCTCAGGCCAGGCCTGGTGACGGTGAGGGTCAGCACTCAGGCCGGCCCTGGTGATGGTGAGGGTCAGCGCTCAGGCCGGCCCTGGTGACGGTGAGGGTCAGCGCTCAGGCCAGGCCTGGTGACGGTGAGGGTCAGCACTCAGGCCGGCCCTGGTGACGGTGAGGGTCAGCGCTCAGGCCGGCCCTGGTGACGGTGAGGGTCAGCGCTCAGGCCGGCCCTGGTGACGGTGAGGGTCATGGCTCAGGCCGGCCCTGGTGACGGTGAGGGTCAGCACTCAGGCCGGCCCTGGTGACGGTGAGGGTCACGGCTCAGGCCGGCCCTGGTGATGGTGAGGGTCAGCACTCAGGCCGGCCCTGGTGACGGTGAGGGTCATGGCTCAGGCCGGCCCTGGTGACAGTGAGGGTCAGCACTCAGGCCGGCCCTGGTGACGGTGAGGGTCACGGCTCAGGCCGGCCCTGGTGATGGTGAGGGTCAGCGCTCAGGCCGGCCCTGGTGACGGTGAGGGTCAGCGCTCAGGCCAGGCCTGGTGACGGTGAGGGTCAGCACTCAGGCCGGCCCTGGTGACGGTGAGGGTCAGCGCTCAGGCCGGCCCTGGTGACGGTGAGGGTCAGCGCTCAGGCCGGCCCTGGTGACGGTGAGGGTCATGGCTCAGGCCGGCCCTGGTGACGGTGAGGGTCAGCACTCAGGCCGGCCCTGGTGACGGTGAGGGTCACGGCTCAGGCCGGCCCTGGTGACGGTGAGGGTCAGCGCTCAGGCCGGCCCTGGTGACGGTGAGGGTCATGGCTCAGGCCGGCCCTGGTGACGGTGAGGGTCATGGCTCAGGCCGGCCCTGGTGACGGTGAGGGTC